TAACTATAACATAATTTTAATTTTGATTGCTCAACAAAAGAATAGGTAAAAATATTATATTTCTTTTTTATGCTCAAACAAAATCGAACAATTCTAATAGCATGAATAACGTCCGATTATATATAATTCAGGTCCAATTTTAGATCTAGCTCTGGGCCGAAATTTAGAGCTATTTTTTATTTTTCTGTGCATGATGATTCTAAAAATTGAAGTATTTGATAAGTATATTTCATTTTTTTAATTTTGGGAATGATTTGTAAATTTCAGTTAGGAAAGCAATACAAAAAATATTGAAAATTTTTTTGTTCTCTTTTTGTATTTTTTTAGTCAATTTGCTAATTCTCTAAATTGTTCAACTATATGATTTGGAATCTTGTTATATCTTTCGAGGATAGGAACTTAGATTAGTTCTTTTTTTTTTGGGGTATGATTTGTAAATTTTAGTTAGGAAAAGAACACAAAAATGTTGAATATTTTGTAATCTTGTGTTGTGTTTGTTAGTCAATTTTGCTAATTTGCTAAGCTGTTCAACTTATATGATTTGGAATATTGTTATTTCTTTGGAGGACAAGAACTTAGATTATTAGTTTATGTTAGTCAAAGATTGTTTTTTAGTCAATTTTTTATATTTATTATTATGGATATAATTATTTTTAGTTTCAACTATGTATAGATTTTTTTGGTATATTTATTTAATTGCATTATTAGAGGGTTGAACATTGTAGGGCATGTTTGAAACTAAGTAAAATAGGGAACAGAAGAAAAACTAAGGTGTGCTACAATACCCAATCCAATCGTTATATTTGGTATGATTAATTAATTGCATTTATTAAGAGAGTGACTATTATATGCCATGTTTGGGCTCCTGTAAAGGATGTTAAAGCAGGCTAGAGGAAGATCCCTTTAACTAGAACCAACTGGGAATTGGCTTTGGAGCTTGGCTTGCCTCTGTTGTCTTAGCCCGTGATGGCTAATTCGTATGCTTCACTTCTGTGATCAGTAAGAACATATTTTGCTATGAGATTATTTATATATGAGAGTCACATTCACATTGAGGGCGAGGAAAAAAAATTTTCTTGCTTAAGACCAAACGTCACAACACCATCACAGCTGTTGATTGTTGAAGGATTGAGTGGGAAAATCTTAACAACTTAACATAATTAAATAAGGGGTGATTTGAACTTTATATTTCTACTAGTAGTGATATATTTTTAACATAATTAAATGGGATCATTCCAACTGACATATTTTGCAGTTACTTTTGAGGTGAAAGTATTGAACTTTACATTTCTACTATTACTGATCTATCCAACTAGTAAGGGCATGTTCTGCAGGTCACTTTAATTTTTAAAGTTATAGAGAGATGGCAAAAAGTGTAAATTAAAATTGCACTTGAAGCAGCAGTGAGACATTCATAATTTAGATCAGGTTAGTACATTGAAAGGCACTCATTTCACTTTATTGTACCATAGTTGAAGGATTTCGTAGACTACTTGAGCACGCTTTTTACTTCAAGAATGTTCGTGGAAATTTTACATTTCGAACAAAACTTCTAGTTTGCACCGATTGATTGACGGGTTCTAACTTTGCCTTTTGTCAATTATCACTCGATATGCAAATTCTTCTAAAATCTAGCGGGTGTTTAATTCAACGGTGATTCAGTCCTCGTTGGTCTCAAGGATCCATTTGGACCAGTTCCACTTCCCCCGTAGCTGCCATGTAATCTCCAGAAAAAAAAAGAAAAAGAAAAAGATCTTTCTTCATCCAGTTGCGGATGAGGTTAGGCGAGTACAACGGTAGTCTCTAGCAATATTAAAACACAAAAATAATACCATTCACCTTTTTGAGCGCAGAAATGAGAAATCATGTCATTCACGTTTTCATGTACGGATGTTTGGATTTTCTAGATGCTGAACATCCACTTGAGATAAACCCATCTATAAAATGGTCAGTCATTCTGCAAGTGAACTCACCAAAGCAAAGCTGCAAAAATCACTGAAAAGAAAGAAAAAAAAATGGCTGCCTCTTTGCAACCACTGTTCTCAGCAATAACATTCCTGTTGTTGATTGCTTCTCTGATCGGGCCCTCCGAAGCTGCTGGAATTGTCCGGTACTGGGGCCGAGGCCATGACGAACCATCAAGTTTGGCTGAGTTCTGCAGGCAAGAATTCGCTACCGATGTTAATATTGCCTTTCTGGAAGATTTTGGCGGCGGCCGCATGCCTGAATTGAACATAAGTCATCCTTTGCCGAGCGCATCAGACATAGAATCTTGCCAGAAACATCAGACCAAAGTGTTTATTTCTATCGCAGGACAGCCGAGCCTTTCTTCCGTCGAAGATGCGGAAGAAGTGGCAGCCTATGTCTGGAACACTTACTTAGGTGGTAAATCAAGCGACCGTCCATTCGGCAAAGCTGTTTTAGATGGCGTAGAGCTTCACATCCACAGCGGAAACACGACTTACTTGGATGATCTTGCTCGGGCACTTAAGGGATACTCAAATGTAATCTTAGCTGTAGCGGCGGAATGTCCTATTCCTGACCCTGCTCTCGACACAACTATCAGAACTGGAGTCGTCGATCAGGTGCGGGTGGAATTTTTTGACAACCCATCTTGTCAGTTTACCCCTCCAAAAGATACCAGTCTCCTCTTCCGGAGCTGGGACAATTGGTCTGATTATCCAGGCGTTCATAAATTGTACCTGGGAATACCTATCTCCCCTACTATCGCACCTGAGGGCGGTTACATCCCACCTAATGAGCTAGTTTATCATGTTCTTCCCTATCTGAAGAAGTCTCCTGTTTATGGAGGCATCATGGTTTTCCCCTACCTTCATCACGAGGTAAATTTCCAGTCCATGCTACGGTCCTATGCTCGTGCTGCCTGATCAGTTCCTCTCGATCGCTATCTGCTGAAGGAGGGATGAAATCAAATGTACTCCTGCTTGTTAATGCCGGAGACGAAAATGATAAATAAATAAACAATGCGTTGTTTATAAGTATTTTTTCTTTCAGTTGTCCTATGTATCATCACTAGATACACATTCGTTCTCCAGTACAAACATATTCACGCAAGAACCTCTATGGTTCGGAACAATAGCTCACGATGACTTGAAACAGGCACAATGACTTGAAGTCTTCGTGGAAATCATTACAACAATAACTACAGAATATAATGGACGTAAATATTAAATGCTAAAGATAAAATATGTAGATAGATACTACAACAATAAGTACAGAATACATAATAAATTTTATCACTCGATGAAAACATGTATCAGCAGCATAAAGTAGTTACATACTTCATAATATCATTATTCGGCAATTTTTTGGAATAAACAGTCTAAGAATCAGTCAGGATAATTGATTCAATTGCTATACTTGTGGTTGGCTAACGGATGGTACTTAGTCTATTCTTCTAAGAAATATACTGCGAGTTAATTTTTCTAGTTCACTTTACAACAAGACAAGTGTTTTTGTCGGACTAAATGGTTGTCACGAAACTGATGAACGTTTCGGAAGGTTCATGACTCAGATTTTGCCAATAACATAAAAATTCATGTTGTAAAGGTGAGATAACGATATATGTAACTCTAACTCAACAAACTTGGAGGGTCGTCGTGAACAGTAGTTTAAGTATATAACATGTGTGTTTTAAGAGTTTATTACAAATATTTGATAACTTGCCTGTTGATTCCCTTTTACATCGTTTCGAAACGATTCTACTGACGATTGTCATTACCCCTCTCCCATTCCTGTCATAGCCAACTTGTTTTTGGAGATGATTTTTTTTTTTTTTTTTTATCAAGCTTTCTCGCAAGTGACAATTGATTAATAAGCTTATTTAATGCAGCAAAAGTGACAGGAATATTACTACCAAATCAATCAGCTAATAATGATGAAGTAGTATTAAGGAGATGCGTATTCAATTCCTTTGGTATTGGTCGTCTGATAAAGTAAGCTCTGATAAAGCATCATCTATGGTTCTAAATGCTTGTAGAAAATTGCTGATAAAATGACAATGACTTAAAGTTCCTGAAAAATATGTATTCATTTGTCGATCTGTATCAGAGTTACTGCCATGGACCACTTAAATAGTAACTGGTTGCAGTAGTCTATTTCCAAGAATAACCCAAAAAAAAAATTAATTACTTATAGAATAGGATCCACATACTTTACAAAGCCTTTACAGATATTTGCATGGATCCAGCTATATTTCTTTTTTTTTTTTGTGGTAAAAACTTTGTTTAACACGTTCAATGAGACTTGATAAACTCTTCTCTTTTTTTTTTTTTTTTTTTTTTAAATATAAGCAAAACATTTTGGTGGTTTTGAATATATAAAAGGTTGAAGCTAAAAGAAGAGTAAACAGATATTTAATGAATTTCAAATGCACATTTAAATTTTGGAGTAACCAAAACAATCGTAAATGAACAGCCTTCAATATCTCGACGTGCCCATATAGCGTTCGAAATTGGGTACAAACTTTGTGACGTGTTGAGTCTGGCAACTACAAGTCTACCCGTGAAGAAATTAAAGTCATGACCCACAGTGGTAGAGAGGCTGGACGTTGCATGCAGCCTTTCATATACTATATTCCTCCCAATCCAGTGACAGCAGCCAGAGGGGCTGGATGCTGCACACAGTTAAATTACATTTTACTCCCCTATGATTTAATATTTTTTTATACATAATCTTCTTATGATTTCAAAAGTTATACATAACTCTCTTATTGTCTGAATTAAAGCGTCAAATTAACGAAATTTGCAATCTATAATGGAATCAATTAAAATATAAAAAATGCCCTATATAAAGTTGAAAATTATTTATTAACTATAAGGGGATTATGTATATATAGTGAAAGCCATAAGGGAGTTATATGGTAAAACATTAAATTATAAGGGGTTCTATGGTAAAATATAAAATCATATGGGGTTAGAGTGTCATACATATTATGTTTATGTACTTTGTTCGCTTCAGCCATTTGAGTTTCAAAACAAGGGTAATTTCAACTTTTAAATAAGTTTCTTTACGAATAATCATTTTGTGACGGCCCCACCTTCTCCTAGGGCATACCCTAGAAATTAGCGGACCACCTGCCTGGCTTTCGCCAGGGTTCAATCACTTACATTAATGTCAGAGATAACATTTCGATAAACCAAAACCAAACGCTCAAATCTTTTACAATACCAAGTTCAATATAATAGCCTCAACCATAATATGATATTAAAGGATTTACAATCACAAAAGTGTTCACGTTAACTCCCTAAGATCCCTCGTTCATTCCCTGACCACCAACTCCTGTAAGGAAAACAAAACTAAAAGGTTGAGCTAAAGTTCAGTAAGGTTTGTCGAACAAGTAACATTCAATAAACACTTAACCAGTAAAATTAAGCAACTAATGCACATTTCACTGTATAGTCACTTTTGAAAGGATACAACAACCAATTAGCAGTATAAAACATTCACCAAACTTAACAATTCAGGATATCAAATTTAATAAAAGTAATCAATCACCTCAAAGGATACGGTACTGATACGGACTCTAGAGGTGGCTCCTGTCCGTTCCAGACGTAGCACTTAGTTCCGTTCAGTAATTCAGTGTCATTTCAATGTCATTGCACACTCGTTTCAGTGTCATTGTACATTCATTTTAATATCATTGCACACTCCGCCAATCCACCTCCTTATGTCCTCTAAAACAATAAACAATCCCCTACATTCAGTAATCAGTTGAATAATCTCCCAACTTCAGGGTAATACTCGAGTATACCAAACAGTTACCCAAAGCTTCCGTCCTATCCGACCAAGCCCTTTGCTGGCTCAAATAGTCTATTGAACAGAGGGTTTTGAGGCCCATTTTAGCCGATGCGATAAAGTACACATACGGCTTACATTCATACACACTAACAGTAACATTTAGTCAATTATCAACCTTCAACCTCAACTAAGCCGAGTGCGATAAAGTACACCATCGATTTAGAAGGCGAGAGACAATTGAGATACACTTTACAATAAATCACTAGCAATATACATAATAAGCACATTTATCACATAATTTCACTTAAATAAACATAAATAGTTAAACACATAAATTCGGAAACACTCACCCTAATCAAAAGTTACACTTCGATCTCTTAATTGCTTTCTTGCACACCGCTGTCTCCTGAGACAAGTTATAATTGCCATAATTATTTAACTACTCATTTGGTGAAGTTCTAAAGTATAATCAACATACGTGTTGTATGCCAGCCTTAAGTCACCATTCCACCCGAAATCTAAGTCATTGCTATGTTTAAATGAGGCGACTAGTGCATTTTCTCACACTCACTTGTTACTTCGACTTTTAATTTCCAAAAGAAAGGAAGTTTAAGTAGCAATTCCAGTAATGTCACTTCACTACTTTTATACTGTTAGATTTATCATACTAAAACTCAACATTAACGTTTAACAAGGTAAGTTTAGAAGTAGCTAACCTTAAAGTACTTTCTTGTCACATAATTCCATCTGTTATTAACCAAGACCACATGCATAACTAGTTTATTACCTTAAGATGTGTATACAATTTATATAGAGCCTATTAAACCAAGTAATAAATGGATATCTTCTTATATAAGTTACAAGGCTCCTTTGATTCCTATAGTTGGTATAGCAAACTTTCCCTTCCATTTTAACTATTTAGATTTTATTTCCAGCCACCAATCACTCACTAACAAACTCATAATACACCAACAAGTACAAATCAAGCATTTCCAGCAAATTTTATACTAAAATATCCATTCAAATGCCAAGAAATTCCATTAACTAAACTGTAAATGGTTTATTAGCCTAACAGTCTTTCAAACAAGAATCCAGCCGTAAAAATCACATTTTCACCCCAAAATTCACATACATGACCATCTAATGATATTATAAGGTGTAATCAACCTTAATATGAAAGTTTACAGCCCAAAATCTATAGAGAAATATCAGAAAATATCCCTTCCATCTCTCTCGGCTGAGGTTGAAAAATTCCAGCAAGTAGGTAGTTTGAAAAACAAGTTTTCTCCATAAAATTCTTTATTTTCCTCATTCAAACTTAATATCTAGGTGATAATTATTATTCTATGAGGTGTTTTGAATCACAATATAGAATTTATAGCCAAGGTTTGAAGAGAAAAAAAGTTGGAGAATACTCTCTTTTGTTCTCTCAGCCAAGATGAAGGAAAAAAGTATGAAATTTCCTCTAATAATCTCTTCATTTTACACTCAAATCTAACTTGCAATCATATAAACATTAGAGTGAGAACATGCAGCTTCAAACGAACATTTCCAACTTTGACAACCTTTGTTTTCCAGAAAGTTTTCTTTTACTTGGTTCCAACTCAGTCTAAAAGACTATTAGCTAAACGTAGAAGAAAAGGAAGAGAAAGACAGTAGTTTACCTCTGGTTCTTATGGTTCTAAGTTAGGAAAATAAAATTCTGGTTTCTCTCTCCCATTCTTAGCTCGATAGACTGCATTCCTGCTTTCTTTGTGGCTGGTTCTCACGGTTGAAGGAGGCCAGAAATGAGTTCCTAGTTGTTGTTGTTGTTTCTTTCTTTTGGTCCTTCTCTCCTTTTCCTCCTAATGTCTCTCGGGTAGCTAAACTAAGGACAAGAACTCATTTCCTCTAGAATTCAGCAAGTGCAGATGGCTCCAAGTTGAGCTTCGGTTCCTCAAAATTGCACCAACTCTCACTCTTTCTTCAATCTACTTCACTCTCATTCGATTGAGCCCGTTAAGTGAAGTATACCACCAGAATTTCTCTCCCTCTCACTCACTTTGGCTCACGGTTTTGAGGTTACAAGCTGGAGAAATAAAGCTAGCAAATGTCTAACTCTCTTCCTCACTCTCTCGGTTGAAAACTGGAACAAGGAAGAACCAGAAATATTTTCCATTCTCTCGGTTGTGCCTTGAGATGAAAAGAAATGGCTTAGTCTCTCAGTTTTGCTCTTGGTGTTTGGTTGGTAAGAAAAGAATTGAAGCCTCGCTTCTCCACTCGGCCACCGCCCAACTTAGCAAGCCACTTTCTATTTGTTTCCTCACTTCCACCGCTTGACTTAGCAAATTATTGGCTGTGGATTTCTCTTGATTTTTCCTTCAGCCACCGCTTGGACTTAACAGCTTATAAGACTCTAGAATCAGAAGGAACAGTGCACTCGGTGGTCAATGTTTCCCAGTCGGTGCTACTTACTACTTGAGCTGTTTTCTTCCTAGTGTTCTCTCAATCACCGCTCTAGTAATTAAGCATTTGATTGCCTAAGTTCCTCGGTTGTCCAGATGCTCAATTCCTCTCTTGGTTGCATGGTTAATTGTCCATCCATTAATGGTTAAATTGGTCCTTTAGTTTATTATTTCATACATTCACTCCTAACTTAATTTGTATTTTCGTGGAAAATTTTCTTACGTTGATCTAGTAGATTTTCACACATTTAGCTTTAAGAAGGATTTATTAGACATGTACCTATTGAACTATATAGTATATGTTACGTGTCTAGTAATATTTGCAAATGACATAAATTACGATATGAATGCCATATATTTATTTAATTCATAAAATTTTTCTACACTGTTCTAGGATATTTTCTAAATTCTCAATTTCATAAGGATTCAATTAGGCATTTAATTTAACCATTTATTCGTTATATATAATATTTCTAATATCAAAGTAAATAAAATGAAATAAATTTAGGGCGCACACATAATTTTCTCTGGTTCTCACACATTTCCGTTATATATAGCTTTTAAAACAAAATTCGTTAGTTGCATATCGGATTACTATTTTACTACACCGGTATCAACTCCAGCGCGAGATGCGGGACTCATCCCCAAATGCAAAATAAGTAGCAGTAGTAGGAGTAGCTTGCCCCTTTGTGTCATTAAAGTTCACAAACATAATCCACACATCATCGAAAGCAATGTCGAAACGGGCTGCCTTATTTAGGAAACTTTTATGCATCTTCAATTAACTTTGTACCTAGCCAAATTCAACAATAAATAATCCAAATTCATCAATAAATTACTATAATTTGAATAATAGCTTGAATTTATGAATAAAAATCAATCAAAAAAGAGAAAAATTTTTCACAATTACCATTATTGAATAACATGACCTTAGATATTAATGGACAACAAGAATTTCACTATCCCTCTAACAAGGTTTTTCAAAACATTCCTAGAACTAATGGCCTATTTGGCAAATGAATTTTTGGCTAAGTTTGTTTCCTATCAATTTTTTAACAACTTTAATTACATATTTCAAAATATCCAAAACACACAAAAAAAATTTTCTTCCTCCTTTCTCCTTCCATCTCAACCCACCACCACCTCGGCGCCGGCCGATCTTTTTTTTTTCTTCCTCTTCTTCCTCTCCCCCTCTCCTCCTCTCTTTCCCGCCACTTCTCTCCCCCCTTCTCCCTCCCTCACCACCCTTCCCTTACCCCTTTGCCCGATCTGGTCACACGACTAGAAAGCACCCGGGAAAGGGGCGAGAGGGGAGGGGAGAGAGAAGAGAGGGAAAGAGAAAAGAGCAAAAAAATTTCTTGTTCCAGCTGGAAGGGAGATGTGGCAGGGGACGGGGAAGGGAGATGAAGAAGAAAGGAAAGAAAAGAACAAAGAAAGAAAGAAATAAAAAGAAAAAGAAAAAGAAATAAAAAGAAAAGAAAATTTTTTTTCATTTTAAAAATTTTTCCTACAATTTTTACAGTAAGTTATAGTAAAATTTTAGACAAACATCCAAAAAACTTATTCACCAAACGAGGCCTAAGTTTTACCCAGATATTTATTGGGAGTTATTTGCCAAATAGGGCCTAAGTAATATCTCATTCTCTTATCAACTTTTATCAAACTTTATTGGAATTGCCCAGTTTTTTAGAGTTTCTCTCTTTTTTTATGAATTTTAATTTGTGATTGGGATCCGTTCATATAACATTCCTCATTGGGAGGATGTTCATGAAACCCCTTCTGCTCTTACATGTTTGTTTAAAAGATCAGGAGGCCTAGGACACATTTTTATTGCATGTCTACCAATTATTGATTGCAAGAATTAGTTTCTAATAGGACCATTTATGGCATTCGATGAGTTAGAAATTTAATTTATGTTCATTAGTTTTTCTCACATGGCTTTATGATCACTTGATTTGAATCTTAAAACTACTTGTAATTCTAGATTGAAAATCATGAGTGGGTGATGTTATTGAAAAGGATTATATCTTGAAGAAATTTCTAGGTGGTTATGTTATAATATTTCTAGATCCACTGTGATGGCATGTAGTATGAAGTAAATTCGGGGTGCAACTGAGAATCTGGCAAATCAGAAAGTGAGAGCACGGAATTTACTAGTGGAGTTTTTATTGATAGTAGGTTACTTTAATGAATAGTAAGACATGATTATCACTTTAGAAATAACTAAAGTTCAAATGAAAATAAGGTTAATTAAGTGGAATTTCTTCTTGATGTTTGGATTTATGTTGACGCAAGGGAAACGTAATGGGCATCAGGTGTTTGAAATTTCTATGGCCTTGTAAAAAGAATAGCGGATTTGAACATGAAGCAACCCTTCTTTGGTCTAGTGAACCTCTTTGATATACAGGTGAGATCTTCTTCCTCCAGCCCCATTGGTCCAGTTGGATCATTCCCTAATATTGGTTAGAGTAGGAGTAGTAATAGGAGTTGACGATTGACCAAAAAGGTGAGGAGGGGAAGGAGAGAGGGGGGGACATGAATTGTCCTTGAGTAAATAATATCTATGCTCTATGTGAAGGTGGAGAAAGCTTTTGTGGTAAATATATAAAGGGGGAGAGGGCTTTTGGTATACATAAAATTTTGTCATTTTATATTATTTTTTAACTACCCTTGCTAGCTACCCAATGTAATCAACTATCGATTATGGTTATGGATTACTGCTAAATAACTATCTATTTGTACACTTATTTTCATGAATTTTCCAATATCCATTGTCAAAAATATAAAACCAATTCCTTTGAAAATGATTTCAACAAATTTACTCAAAATTTTAATAATATGTTTTTTATTAGGTGTACACACATTGGTTTGTGCCCTAAATACTAGTAGTTTAATTAATACTTGTTCATGTAAAGTGATATAATTGGAAGGGCAGTTTGTTTTTATGCTAATCTGGTCAAATTAAGTTTCGAGAATGAAACTTGGGTGGGTAGAATTAATGTAATACCTGAAAATCATTAGTTGGTAATTCATAAGAGTTGTTGGCAGAAAAGCTAGAATGTATATCAATTAGAAATTAAACAACTAAATCAATTATTAGCATAAATAAGTATAGAATTCTTCTAAAGTGTTTAAATCTGTTGACGCAAAAATTAGATCAGTAAGCAAGATAAACAACCTATAAATTGCTTAGCATAGAATATTTATTGCATACAAATGCGAACAGAAAAATAATTATTTCACATCCTATCATCCTTAGATCTCCGAGCGAATAAGGAGGAACCCACCAGCAGCTCACATTCAGAGCAAATAAGTTTTCAGATAGGTTCAATAACTTTAGATCTCCGAGTTTCGCAAAATGGTTTTCAGATAATACTCCAGTTAATGAGTTGGAAGAAATGTCCAATACTTGCAGCTTCGAAAGTTGGTATTGACCCTTGCATGTCATTAAAACTCAGATCCAAATAATTAAGACAGCTCACATTGCAAAGTGACTTCAACGTTGATGCATCAAAGCGGTTTTCCCCTAGATCGAGATCAACTAGAGAGGTCATTTGTTCAAATAGGCCATGAATTGGACTAGAAAGATGATTAGAACTAAGACCAAGATCATAGAGACCAGAAAGATTATGGAGCCAAGGAGGGACCATGTGGTTGTTGAAATTATTTTCATCAAGGGAAGAAAGAGATGAGAAATTGACCTGTGAAGATGTAGATTGATGAAAAGTTCACAACCATCTAATTCTAGTCGTGTTAGTGAAGGAAGCATGTTAATTGTCTGTAACCCATTTTCAACGGCACTAAAATTCACCCCAGGCAGAACTAGGCCCTCCAGAGAAGAGAGTCCAACAATCTACCTGAGATCCTTCATTGTCAATTGATTCAGTGTTAAGGAGGGAGTTACACCTCCAAGTTCTAAATGCCCTAAACATGAGAGATTTCCTAGATGGTGGGGAATTTCACCATCAAACGCTGCATTTGCAAGATTTAAGTATCTCAGGTTTTTCAACAATCCAAGGAATGTGGGAACTTGGATTCCTGAAAAATTATTTGATTGGGAGCCATAAACGATCCAAAAAAGATTGAATTGGAAATATAATCACAGATGGGTGATAGGATCGAACTGGAAAGATAGATTATGGGAGTCCAAAGACTAGCATGAAATTAAAAATGGAGTAGGCTAGATAGACAAGCTAATAATGTCTTGACTTGAGCTGATAATATCTTAAGAGTCTGGTCATTCGATCTGCAGATATAGATTTAGATGAAGTGAAATTTAAACAAGAAGACCAGTAAACAAACATGATTAATTTGTGTAGAAAACTTGACCATCTGTTGCGTCCGACGACTGCAAATCCACTGGCCAATGGAAGTCCCGATCCGCCGTAGAAAATCAATATATTAATTCTTCGGCTTGGATAATTTAAGGACTACATCAAATAATATGCATCAGTAAAATTTTTTATTTATGTAAGTGCTAGCTTTTCTGTTTCATGGATTATATTCTTAATTTTCCTTGTTAGACAGTCTAGCAAGGAAATGATTTAATTGTGGAGTTAGCCTTTTATACACCTGACGGAATATATTCTATTATCCAACTTTGAATGAATGATAAGTAATGTAAATTCGAATTGAAATTTTAAATTTTAATTATGTGTCATGCATCTAACAGCAATAATATATACACTATCAGTTTTACTCTTAGCCATTTAATTGACTGTGATATGGTAAAAGCCATCTGCTTAAGATGTAAAAAGCAACAGGGGTAAGCTATGATTAAACAAAGCTGAAGGGGCTAATTAACGATATTGCTAATCCTGACTTCAACGGGAATGGATTATAGAGACTTCAATGGGAATATGGTTGGTGAGGCATTTGCGTTCTAATCAACTCCAATTGTGACGGAGGACTGACCTGTTATTCGGATGAGAAAAGCAAATCTAAGCCCACAACTTTGTATGGATGGGAATGATAGAGTTTGTCCAATGGGATTCTGAAGAATAGGACGAAACTAATCAGAATATCAGACGAGCGGCTTATAA